TTACAAGTAACGCGCGTCGGGGCGACTCGCTTGACCCTCGACTGTGTGTTTGTACGTGTAAATGCTGCTTTATTTTATAAACACAATTGTGATAATATTAAAAGTGTGCACGCATATGTTTATAATATGATTTAGATTGCGTATGATAGGATAGTTGAGTTCGATTTATCGTGGTTTCATATATAAAATCATCATTCTTATCTACAAATTAGTAAAACAAGCTGCTTTCAAAGTTGATGTTATAGAATTCTCGTTTATATGTCTTGATATTGAAAATTACAATAGGTTTAGTTTTTTCTCATGAATATTTCTCATGAATATCACGAAACGAGATAGGTTTTAATAGATAATGTTAAACTGAAAATTAAGCATGGATGATAAGAAGTGCATCACCTTACAAATTCGTACAGTAGCACGGAAATTAGTATTATGTCGAGACAACAACAGAGAAAACTACGTTTTATACTATTGCATATCGATATCTATGCTTGAATAAATAGAATGTAGCCTGAACAGAACAATCCTATACCGTGATGTATTATGGAAAAGATGTTCACTGTTATCAATTAGAATCGTACTTTTACTGAATATCATTGTAAATAGATCTATAACATGTCGCAGTTTGTACTATGGTATCGAATTATTTGACAAATGCTATGATTCTTTGATATGACTAATAATATTTTATTTTATTAACAAAAAATTTCATGCAAAATAAGATAATACAAATATATGGAATATGTGATTAAAACAAACAAAAAAAACTAGATGCGAAAAGGAAAATGCATCTATAACCAGCAAATAACTTTTCATAATATGAACTAGAAAAGGATTACAAAGCTACTATAAAAGCGATACTAATACAAAAAAACACAATTATAATAAAGAACATAGATTGATGATTTCATTAAAAAAAACATAATATGCAAAACAATTCATAACGACTAACATGCATTTTTATAAAGTAAAGAAAAATTATTGAAAATACTCAGAAAATCGAAATTGGGTATCAATATACAATTTATCAAGTCTTTCAATTTCAGCAACTTGCAATTTACTTGGCTTGATTCGTAGAACTTCGTAATCGAAAGGCCGTAAAATAGCTACATCAATCAAACGTTGGAAACGTGATAGCGGTACATAAACAGCGGCAATATCTTCAGTTTCATTCGGCAGTTTAAGGTCAATCACGGCTTTACTCAAAGTTTGCCCTTGACTCTTATGTGTTGTAATACAATAAGCAGGTACAAGTGGTAGTGCACGTCGTTTAATTGACAACATTGCTTTCTGGTTCGATTTTGGCTTTTTATTTTTTGGAAGAATGTCAGTAACGTCAAAACGAAACGTTTGTTCCATTAACGGTATTGGAACGATTTTTGGTTGAAGTGTTTCAAGATTACATTCAATTTTCGATCTAGCAATTTCAATTAATGCATATAAAGGTTGATGCACGTACTGTGTGTTGTTCGGAAATGTGTTAGATAGAGCATCTATTGATACAGAATCAGCCTCGTAGACTAGTTGTCGAAATATTCCATTTATGCCGTTGATAAGACCCAATTCAATAGCAAGATTTTGCGTTAAAATAACTGGCATCCCAGGCACAAATGGCAACAAACCGGGTAAGTGTTCCGTCTTGCTGTCAGATAATTCCAGTAATTTTTTCATAAGTATAGGATCTTCAATTGGTTTTCCTTTGCAGGTATCTTGAGCGACACATACCATTGGCTGAAGACCTAGTTGTGCTGCATTATGAACTGCTGCTTTGTTGTTTAATTGTGTTCGTACTTCATTTCGATATGCTAAAATGGGAGCCTAAACATCAAAACGATGAAAAATTATTTTAAAAAGAAGAAAGAATTTACTTCGTTCCATGGTGATTGGCGAAGAGAACTGACCGATGGCTGACCAACGACGCGTGTTAATAATAATTCATAATCTTGCAAATTACAGTCACCTTGACGAAGCCGTTCGAGTAATTCACGGTATCGTTCATCTTCTGTTCGCATCTGTTGACTAAGTTTGATCACACAGTTAATTTGAAGTATCAGGGAACGTGCAGCGCGTTGTTGAATTTCTTTTTCACTAAGTAATTGACCTGATTTGTTTTTAAAGGGCTGTGAAAAGTCAGTGTACAACGGTGTATCATATACTGGTCGATACTGTAAATAATCACCAAAAAATATGACGTTTATGCCACCAAATGGAATTTCAGGGTCGGCATGTTTGGCAGCGGAAAGAATTCTATTGAGTTTTCCAAGTAGAGTTAAACCAACCATACTCATCTCATCGATTAGGAGATATTCAACGAGTGCCCATTGTTTTTCAAGTTTGGAATCACCTGGCTTGATGGTGCGCGGCTTTCCCGAATTACGTTGTTCACCTAAAAATGAATGGATTGTCATGCCGCCAATTTCAGCAGCAGCGATTCCGGTGGGTGCGAGTTTTCGCATCATTTGTATTCTTTTTGTAACAAGGAAGTATTTGGTGACAGCACGAATCAATTGTGATTTACCGGTGCCGCCACATCCAGGTATGCACATTATCAGCTGACCATTGTTGGTACCTATATATATATATATTATTTTGATTTATTATTATACGTATAGATCATTAAAATACCTATATGACGTTCCTTATCACCATCAAGATGACTGGTTATTATCATAAATGCAGCTCGTTGTTCTCTATTCAATGTATATTCAACAATAATACTTTGCTGAGTAGAATAGCTTGTGGTAGTGACTGATGCAACTGGAAGAATTTGAGTGTAATTATCAAATATATCTATGTTATGATTATTTGAATTGACCATAGTTACAAGTGCATCCTGTATACTATCATAATCTAATGTATCATCAGTTTTGTCGTATTTGCCCGTAATTAAACTTCGTCTAACTCTTTCTTTCTCAGTCTTTAGTTGTTCTTGCCATTTTGTATTGAGTCGAACGAGATTAGGTGTTGCTGAGACGAACGGCACAATTTGTTGAAAGTGATCTCTAGAAGATTCATTTACTAACGATTGACTATTTTCTATAAAAAAAGTAGTAAAGTTTGTATCTACTGCATAATTAATAATAATGCTTACTACGTGTGTGAGTAAAGCGTCCAACTTTTTCAACTGCTTCTATGGTTTCTTCAATGTATATACTTTCTGTTGTCTTTTTGGTGCTATTTAATGCATTGGTAGTATATTCGTTTAAATTACCAAGCAATTCAAGTAAATCTTCATTGTCACTTGTGTCGTCATATTCATCACGCATGTTACGACTTGGTATGACTAATTCAGGATCAATCGTATCATTTTCAGTTTGAGCTTCAGTTATAACTCGAAGTAAATGCTCATCACGATCTTTCTTACATTCATGTAAGAGTTGAATATTTTCTATAATATTCCATGAATCCGGAGATATATGATGTTGGCGTGACTTGAGTGCATCTTCCCAATTTTCATTAACATCACAAAGATCAGACACCGAACGCCAAGGTACAAAAAGTGTCAGAAGAGCTCGACTATATCGTTCTTTAGTATCTTCACGATCATGTCGAGGAATTTGAGGACCATAGAGAATCGGTATATGAGCCTCACTGTATTCAGTTAACAGATAGGTTGTTGCTTGTGGATGCTGTTCTTGAAAAGGAAAACGTTGATTTGGTGGTCGGCCTTTTCGAATCCCTTGTTGATCTTCTGTAGTGGAAGATTTGGATAAATATTTTGCATCTGTTGCATTCATTTTTCTCTTGTAGAATGTACTAACGAAATCGTATAAACAGATTTTGCTTAAGGTATCTGATCGATATTGATAATCAACTCTTGTGTTGACAAGTATAAAATTGTTTTTATTTTCAGTAGATTGAATCTGAAAATTTTCTTCATTATCATCTTCAGCTGCAGTATTTTCATCATCAAACACATTGTCATCGTCAATTACATCTATATGTGAAAAAAATATATGGATGTTTCTTTGTTTATTCAATTAGATATATACATCTATGTTTCCTGCCTTGATATATGAGACAAGAATTATATTTAAATTAGAATAAATGAGTTCGATACTCAACACTTATTTTGTGCAGTATCATAACTAAATTACACTTATGTAGTTCTTCGAGTATAAACTGTTTGAAAATCAGAAACAGTGTATAACGTTTTCCATCCGTCAATGTGATTGTTTTCTCTCTTTCCGTTCTCTCGGTCTATGAAAACAAGTGTACAGTTTTGAATGATTATCATATATATTGTTTTTCGTTTCGTCTAAGTTGTGTCTATCACAAATGTCTTTTCTTTCTCTCTATTTCGCTTTGCATATACAGAAGAAAAACAATTGCTGTTTCAATAAAAGCTAGTGGAAAAACAATAAATGTAGAAAGGCAAAGTATTATCTTACCATGCGAGGCATGTTCTAAGTTTTGTTTGATGCGTAATTCGTTTAATTCCGTTTGTAGAAATATCTCAGTTTGAATTAAATAAAGACCTTGAAATTTGTGTGTAGTGTAATGGTCGCCCCAATTCATGAGATAAGAGGCAACTTGAACTCCAGATAGCTCTTGTTGAGAAGCAAGTGTATTGTAACAACGCAAAACCAGTTTGCGTGATCTTTCTATAGCACTTTCCGTCTCTGTTTGATCTGATACATTTTTGAATGATGTAATACTTTTTTGAATAAGAGAGAATGTATCATGAAAAGATAGACTCGTTTTTGTAATATAATCAGTGATATAATACACAAGAGCCTTAGTATCACTACCAGTCCAAATAAATTTAATATCCATGTTGGAACGACATGATGATATAATGTATTCATTAAAATTATTAATCCATGGATGTGATCGTCGCATAGAAATATGACCAGTCTCCGGATCAATTGTCGATACTGATATCAATTTGCGTGGCATAATCAATCGGCAAATTTTCTTCGCCATATCTTTACAATATTTATAACACGTATCACTATGTCTATGAACATTACCTGATTCAACAAGTTGTGTCACATCAGTACAAAATCGTGACCAAAAGTTAGGTAAAGATGGATTTGGAGTAGGCAAACATGCTGGAGGTAGCCTTGATTGGATATCTGAAGCATCCATATCTAAAATGATAATTATGATTTTGTGTGTCATTAAAGAATTATTAAATCATACTAGATATTGATTGATCATGTATTGGTGTTTGTAATAATTCAGTGCGTTGTGGAGAAGCATAAGGAATTGATGGAGAGCCACGTAGATTTGGTGGA